CTAAAACATTATTTATATAAGCAGACATAATCCCTATGCTCTGAAAGGGAAGGGCCTAACAAAAGAAACCACATCCAATGTTTCAAACAGCTAAGTTGTAAGAAGATTGAAAAAAATAAGTAAAAAGGCTCAGAAATAAGAAGCTCCAGATTGAGGGATCCTGTTCTTACGATCTATTTTTCTTTCTAGACTTGGATGAAGGTTTGGAAAAGTCCGAACTTGTAGTGCCTTTGGAAGAACCCTGGCTGGACTTCTGATTAGGCCCGTTGCTTGAAGCATTTGTGGCATTTGAAACAGAAGCATCATGTTTCTCACGCATGACAGCTCCCTGAGAACCCCTCACCTGAACTCTCTTATCCTTCCTCTTCGGCCTGTAACTAGACCTTTCTCTCTTGGGTAACCATCTCTCGGGATCCGGAGGCGGTCCCGGGTTTGCAGGATCGAAGCCCTTCGGATACCTGGGCTTTCTCTTCCTCTTCTTTGATTTGGCTTTCTTCACCTCTTCCGAGATTTCCATTTTCCCCACATTTATCCCTTCAAAATGCTTTGCTCCGGAACTCTTTTCCAGGCTTTCCACATTGATTCCCTTGAGACCTGGCAGTTCTTTGAGCTTTTTCTCATATGATTCGGCCTTCGCAATGTCGGTTCGTGCCGCAGTTTTAACCAATCCCACCAAAACTTCGGTGTTCCCATGATTCTGTACAAGCTCTTCATAAAGTTTAAAGGCTTCTGTTTCATGGCCATGATTGAGTTTGAAGGACGCAGCCTCAGGCATGATCACACTGAGCTTATTGTCTTCCGTCATTGCATCCTTCCACCATTGGACAGCAGAATCCAGAACACTGACGGCACCGTTGAAATCATTATTGCGCTCTTTCAGGGAAACGATTGTCGCAACGGTGGCCGGCATATGTTGGATATCATGGATTGCAGATAAGGAGTCAGCAGCAGTCTGTAAATGGCCAGCAGCAGCAGAAATTTGAGCTCGGACAAGCATGATGAGCTTGGATTTTTCAGGGAATTTTTGTGCAAATTGTGCGAGCATCTCCTCCGCTTCAGAAACTTTCTTCTCTTTCACAAGCATGGCGACTTGGAGAAGAATAGGAGTCAAACTTTCAGGGAACATGTTCAGAAGTGCAGATACAAGCTCTTGAGCCTGTAAAATAAACCACTGTTAGCGAGGAAGAATATTGAAGCTTTAGCTCTGGTTGGAGTTTATGAATTTGTTATTCGCATAACACTTGAAATCTTCTTATGAGAAAACTTGACACAGAACACCATTATCACAAAAATCAATAGTACTTCTTCCGCTTTAAAAATCTCCAATCTGATATATCAATTTAAAAGAAAACAAAAAGCCAACATAATTATAACGTTAAACATCCAATTAAAAGAATAATCCTGAAAGCACCTTCAAAGAATACTTATAATCAGCCAACAATTTCATTTATGAAATAAAAAACACTTCTAATGATGCATACTTGAGCCTTTAAAGCTCTTTTATTAGGCTTAGTTTTATAAAAATGAAAATAATATGAGAACAACAAAGACAATTATCAAGAATGCTCGGGAAAAAAAAAAGAAACGGAAAAACAAAAGCAAAGTAAAAGATTGTATGAAAGCCTGGAGTTTGTTGGATTTCTGTACGCTATGAACCACAAACATAGATATTGAGGCACGAACCCAACACATGAACACAGCGATACGACGTAAATGCAAAAAGTAGGATACGACATATTTTGGACACATTTTTATATATAATAAATAATAGATATAAAACCTATAAATGCAAGATAAAAACTCAAATTAACATACAATTTTAAATTTTAAATGTTGTCTTATAGTAAAAATGAATTGTGAAGCACCTCCTATAAATTTTAAATGTTGTCTTATAGTAAAAATGAATTGTGAAGCACCTCCTATGAAAATGACTTGGACAAAAAACCAAAAACATAACATCGAATTGTATGATAAATTTCACTTATCAAATAAGTAAAATATGGAAATTAAGAAAAGTTTATTTAATATTATGCTTATAATAACACTTGTTTGCTAGGGCTTGGGAGAGGTCAAGGAGTATTGATTGCTGTGTAAAGAAGAGGCGGAGATGATTTGCTGCACAGGGCAGACAATAGTAGCTTATAACGGCTTTTCCTAGCAATTATTACTTATTATTTGTTATTATTTCCTGATTATGTATTTGCTATTTTGTCTTATTCGTTTTTATTTTCTTTCCTAGTTGTTTTATTATGTTTTTTATTTCTTTCCTTTATTATGCCTATTGTAATTGGGTTTAAATTCCCCTCCTATCAATCTATCAATAATATTTGAGCTGGTTTATCCTAAATTTCAACATTGTATCAGAGCCTAAACCTAAATTCATTAGCCACCGACCTCATCTGTTGGTTCCAATAGCTAGCACCTCATAGCCGTCAGCATCCTTTGCAGGTTCTAGTACTGCAACTGGTTCCCTCTGATCCACTTCAAAGATGGTTCTACAAAGAGCTATAGTCGCAGATTCCAACAGCCGCAGTTTCTACGATGCTTCTCCGTAAAGTCCCGCATGGTCCCACTATTTGCTGCAAGATCCTGCTTATTCTAACTACAACCTAGCTGTTCCGCTATTTTCTAGCAGCTGTTCCGCTAGTTTCCTGTAGTCCTCCAAAGTTCATCGATGGCTCGTAACCTCAACATCTTCTTTGGCTCAGTCGAAATTACAATGGATTCCTCCAACTCTGAACCACCTTCAGAAGGTGTTCTTGATTCCACAACAGGATCAACTGCAATTTCCGCTCCTTTGCAGATCGGAGGATCAAAAACCAACATGAGTTTCTTAATCACAACCCATAAACTGAACAACAATAACTTTCTCCAATGGTCCTAAGTGGCGTCTCCGTTCATCAAAGGGTATGAGAAGTTTGGTTACCTCAGAGGTGTGGTTTGTGAGCCTCCAAAGATTGATCCGACATATGGAGCTAGGGGAGTGAAGAACTCCATGATCATGTCATGGCTGATCAACTCTATGGAAACCTCAATTAGTCGTTCATACATGTTCCTCCCTACTGCTAGAGTCCTCTGGACAGCTGTTCGTTATACGTACTCGGATGTAGGAAATTTTGGCTAATTCTATGATGTATATAAGAAGACCTAAGAGGCAAAACAAAAGTCAAAAACCGCGACCCAATATTATAATGACCTCGTTGCATTATGGATGAAATGCGACCTGGACTACAATTATACTTGGGATTCTCCGACCAATTTATCCCACCTCCAGAAGATAGTAGGAAAGGATCATATGTTCTAATTCCTTGCTGACCTTAACAAAAATCTTGACGAAGTCCGTGGAAGTATTCTTGCTCGAGATCATCTTTCTTCCGCTAGCGCTGCTTCTACTAAGATTCGTCAAAAAGAAAGCAGGAAACTTGTCATGGTCGACACTTCTACTCCTTCAGCTGAATCATCCGCCTTAATCTCCAATAGTGCTTAGCCCTCGTCCATGCCACCTCGAACTGGTCATGCTACTTGTAATTATTGTCACAAACCAAACCACACTTAAGACAAGTATTGGAAACTTCACAATAAGTTGACATACAAACCTTCGACCGAATTCTCTACTGTCAAGGGACTCCAGTAGACGTCCGAACCAAGCACGACTTAACGGACTCCTAACCGGAACATTACAAAACCCTCCGAATCCCTAAATAACCAGATGGAACAATTGATCAAGCTTCTTGGAGACAATCAAGTCTCTACGGTCTATCGACCTTTCACGTCCGACAAGATACTCTTCCTATGACTCTCACAATTTATTCCTCCTCTAGTTCTTGGATTATTAATTCAGGTGTCACGGATCACATGACTAACTGCTCGTAAGCTTTCTTGACTTACGATCCATACTCTAGAAAAAATACTGTCAGAATTGTTGATGAATCCTGTAGTCTCATTACTGGTAAATGGTCAGTTGTATTAACGACTGATCTAACCTATAATTTGTTTTACATGTTCCTCGATTGCGTTGCTAATTTTGATTCTGATGATTGTTATTCATGATCGTCGTTCGGGGAGGATGATTGTAACTGCTCAAGGGTAGCCGAACTCAACTACTTCCAAACGGAAAAACACAGGGAGTGAAGACACAACACTTAAAAGTTGTAACCTATTTTGAGTCATTGAATGTCCCATTATGTTACATTGTCGTTTAGGATATCCTAATTTACAATATTTGAAAAATTTGTATCATTTGATGTTTTCTAATAAAAATCTCTCAAACTTCCATTGTGAGACATGTTTGTTAGCTAAACATCACTGAGTTCATTACACGCCTCACACTTACACACCTTTCGCTCCTCTCCCTGATTAACAATGACATATGGGGTCCTCTCACTCCCAGTTACGCCAATAAACGGTAATTCTTAACCTTAGATAATGATCGCAAGTCGAAAGAATGACAAGGATTTACATTTAAAAAAACAAATCGAAAGTCGTTGCAATCTTCCAAAATTTCTACACCTTTGTCTTAACTCAATTCAAAACTCCTATTTAGATCTTTCAGACCGACAATGGCCATGAGTTTTTCAACTCTATTTTGAGTGAATTTTTGGTTAATAAATGCATCATCCATCATAGTTCTTGCACGAGCACTCAATAAAATGGGATAATTGAGAGAAAAACCAGTCACCTCTCTGACGTTGCTCCTCAACAAAATGGGATAGTTGAGAGAAAAACCAGTCACCTCTCTGACGTTGCTCGCTCCATTATATTTCAATGCAATGTCCCGAAATATTTTTGGAACGATGTCATTCTAATTAGCACTTATCTCATAAATATAATCCCCTCCAAAATTCACAAGTTTCAAACCTCCTTAGTCGTCCTGATGTCAAGCTTCCTTACGAATCGGGTCTTCTCGACATTAGATCCCAAGATTTTTGAGTGCACTGCCTTTGTTCAGAACACTGTCCCTACTTGAGTAAATTTGATCCCAAATCCATAAGCTGCATATTCTTTGGACACTCCGCAACTCAAAAGAGATATCGACGTCTTGATCCAACCACAAACAACATCTATATGAGTGCTTATGTCTCTTTCTTTGAAAGTACTACATATTTTTTTAGCTCGGCCTTTAGTGAGGGGGTGTTTAAGTTCCCCAACATTGTCCCTTATCCTACTTCTATGGATAGTCCTCCTATTGTTCCTACCATTGAGTCACCTGTCCCATTGAATGCACCATCTCCTCATCCCACTGTCTGTGTCTACAATCAACGCACTCATCCCAATGCTCCTACTTTGGATCCCACTATCTCACAGGACCTTGACTCCACTCCGGACGACATCCTCAACACAACCCCTCCTCTGAATGAGTTGGGTTCTCCGAGTAAGATACACAATCAGACATGCTCCCTCTATTCTATGACAAAATATGTCTCATTCCATAGTTTATCGTCGATCTACAGAGCATTTGTTACTGTCCTGACGGACCATCAGATCTCTGTTACTATTAAGATAGCTCTTGCCGATCCAACCTGGAAAACGACAGCAATGGAGATGAATGCCCTTCAGCAGAACCATATGTGGGCCGTCGTGGACCTTCCTCAGGGTAAGAAAGCTGGAGGGTCCAATGGACTTTCAACAACAAGTTCAACTTTGACGGATCCTATGAATGCAATAAGGCAAGATCGGTTACCAAAGGATACTCTGAAACCTATGGAATTGACTATGAGGAGACATTTGCTCTAGTGGGTAAGTTGAACACTATTCGGGTCCTGTTGCCACTTGCGGTGAATCTGGATTGGCCTTTGTTTTAACTAAATGCCGATAATGCATGCTTGAATGGAGAGCTAACAGAAGAGGTGTATTGGTATCTCTCTCCGAGTTTTGATTCTACTGCCTCCAATGGACAAGTTTGCAGGCTACAAAAGTCTCTCTATGGGCGAAAGTAGTCACCAAGAGCTTGATTCGGTAAGTTTACAAAGGTGATCGTGGTCCATGGTTTTACTCATGCTTAATCGAATCACGCCCTCTTCTTTCGACATCCATACAACGATCAGGTAGCTATCCTTATTGTTTATGTTAACGATATTGTTCTTACAGGTAATAATTTCCCAACATTGCAATCCTTAGTCCTTACAGGTAATAATTTCCCAACATTGCAATCCTTAA